TACTGCAGAAGATGCACCGATCCGCCTGTCAATCTCCTGTTCCATCCTTCCCTCACTCGTGAACAAGACGCCAAGATACTTGAACTCCTCCACTTGAGGCAGGAACTCTCCACCACCTGAATATTAACATTGTAATAGGATTGTTATAGAGCTGTTGTCATCATGACATCCCTATAGCAATATTTCTTTTAAAACCTTTGTCCATCAAGTTTTTTTTTTTTTTCCCCAACTGCTAACTAGAGAATGCAAATCAAAGTTATTATTGAAAATTCAAGTCAGCGAATACATTGCAAAGTTACTGCTTCTTGTATATTTGCATTTTGATCTTTGTTTTCTCATGCTCATACTTTTTTTTCCTCTGCATTCACATTTGTTTTTATATCTATTGCACTATTGCTTTTTCAAACTTTATTGCCATTTCTTTTAACAGCCAGCTTTTTCTGTTTCCCAGAATCTTTAGTATTAAAGACAAATGCTTAATTGACAAACTGGAAAGCCGGTTTGTAAATACAGTAAATGTTCCACACAGGAAAATATTGACAGCCCCAGAGACTGTTAATTTTGTGCCACCCAAGAGTAAAAAAAAACTCTCCATATGGATCATTTTCCACACTTTTTGACTTAACCTTTGAACTTTAACAGGTGGAAAATGTGCGCAAGCAGTGCAATGTTCAAATCCATCATATGGCCGAGGAGCTCTCGGTGCTGCAGCTGGTAAGAACCTACTCCACTAAGGATGGTTTCCTTTTAAAAATCACACTAAATCCCTTTTTACTCTACCTTTCTGCTTATTTTTTTCATTCTGTCTCCACCTCTCCCTTTCCCTGACTCTCCTTGTTCTCTCTTTTCACCTCTCTGCAGGAGTGTGCAGATAAAGAGTCTCAGATTCAAAGGTTGCTGCGAGAGAGAAAAGCTGTAGAGGAGGAACTCGAGAAGGTATGTTTGAAAGTATCGAAAGCACAAAATGAAAGAGGCCATCATAGCTAAGTCCAGATTCTGACAGTGTTTTGTTATATGGTTTTATACAGGAGCTCAGGCATTGCAACTTTTTAACGTTTTTTAATGCTTCCTGTGTCTTTTTGTTTTTTTTGTTCAAGGTGTATAAAGAGTGCAGGGCAGAGCCCGAGTTCAGGAAGATTGATACTCTTCATCAGAGGTGTCTAGATGCAGAGAGGATGAAGGAAGATATGAGACTAACTTTGCAAGCCACCCAGAACAAACTAAAAAAGATGGAGATGGAGTAAGTGGGATAGTTGCTACGTAGCCTTATAGGCAGGAAGTTAACCTCTCTACCTATACTCTGCTCCTTCTCACCTCTTGGAGCATGCACAGTTGTGGGTGTATGACTCTGTGGCTCTTGTCTGCTGCGATTAATGATGGTGTGCATGAAAATATCTTTCACACTTCCCTCCCCCCTGTCTCAATGCATCTGTAGCTACACTGAGGAGCTGTCGCGTTGTCAGGAGGAAGTGCGTCGGCTGCAGGGCTCTCTGGCTGCAGCCCGGGAGGACTGTGTCAGCGTCAGCGAGGAGCGGCTCCAGCTGCAACAAGAGAACTTGCAGCTTCGCAAGGAGATGGATGAGCTACGCAAGGCCAGTGTGCTGATCCAAAAGAAGGCCAAACAACAGGTAGTAATTGAACAAAAGGAAGAAAGTAACACTGCAGGACAATACATGCCACTATATGCAAAGTTGGCCTGCACTAAAGGGTTATTTATTTCCATGAAGACTTGTAAGAAACAAATTTAAATGAAGCCAGTAGTCTTAAAACATTTGTAAAAGAGCAAACTTTAGGCACCAAACATTTGCAAGACGCACTCTGCACTGTAATCAGCCTGACCAGTGAGATGCTGAAGTCGATACAAGGGTTTGTCTTTGTACTACAACACATGGTTCCCACCCAAATCCACCTTCACACCAATAAGTGCCATGTCTACACTTTTGGCACATGTTGTTTCATGACAAAATAAACCGAAACCATGTTAGATTTGGTGGGTAACAACATTTCATGGAAATTTATTCAGTGGTGTGTTGAGATATTTTCAGTCTGGACCAAAGTAGTGGACTGACTGACTGACTGACTGGCATTGCCGTCCACTTGAAGATTAGGCTAAAAATTTACAAATCATAACTAAAACAAATGATCACAATTGCTGCAGCAGCGGCCAAAATATCCTGACTTTTAGTCCAAAGTATAGGTTCATTTTCAAATCCCCTGCATCCTACAGTTCTCAAAATGCAACTTCATATCTTTTGAACAACTATTTTCACTGGCTGAGTAGTTCTCACTACAAGTAGACTGATCTTCACCTGTAAAAGAAAGATGAAATCTATAAGGAAGGAAAAATGTATTTGTTCAGTCTGCAGATCACAAGTGTTTGCCAAACAACCATTTGGTTCAACACCTGGAAAGCCATTACTAAGCAGAACACTTAGAAACATTTAAGTGGTGGGATAATTTGCAGAAGTTCAAAGCAGAAAATAGACAGTAAAATACAGGGTTGGCATACATGTCCAGCTTGCACAAAGTGATATTAATAGATTTCCATTGTGGTCCCCAGTAGATAACGGAAGAACATGTAGCAGGTGGTGTAAATCAGGCAGAACTGATGTACACAAAACACATACACAATTAGGACAAGACGCAGAAACGGAGAATACTGACTCATAATTGACAAAACCCCTCTCAGATGACAGTTGCTTTATTTAACTTGGGGGCACTGCTCCAGGGAACTGCAGCAGTGTATAAAAAATACTGACTAGTACTATATTGTAGCACCACGTTTTATTAGTTCACATAAGATCGGACATGTGAATCTTCTTCATCTGTTTCAGAGAGTTTTAGACCAGCAGGGTAGTCTCATGTGCACAAAGCTCATCACTCTGCTGCCCTCCTCCAGGTGTCACAGATGGAACAGGAGTGCAGCCTGAAAGAGCAGGGACTCAATGCACGGGTGAGGGAGCTTGAGGAGAGCAGCCGAACCTCAAGTGCTGATCTGACACGCCTCCTCACAGCACAGCAGAAAAGCACTCAGCGCTGGAAAGATGAGGCCAAGAATCTGGTTCAGGCCTTTGAGACTAAAATCACAAGCCTTAAGTAAGAACCCCTACAGGTAGATTTAGTATTGCTAAGTAAAGGAAAGACGAGTACAAAATGCAAGCTGAGAAATGTACTTTCGGACCAAAAGGATGTCATTTTAGGTTCTTAAGATAGATTGTGTAGATTAATGTATTATGTAGGCAGAGAATTTCTGGTTCAATAAACCCAGCAAAATGAAGTGTACAGTGATAGACTGCAGTGAAAATAACAGTAATGCTGATTCCCAATGTGGGACTATCTGAAATAAGATGTAATATATGAATTCACATTTCATATAATACTCTTTAAAGTGCAATACAAAGGGTTTTTCTGTTAAACGAGGAAAAATAGTCCTACCTGCCTAAAAATGCCTCATGGCCTAAGGACTTCATTGTGCCAGTTGTATCTCAGACTGGATCAAAGACTGAGCAACAGATGAGGTGAAGGACCAAAGAACAGTTTATGAAACACTGACTTAGCACTTGAAGTTGTTTTTCCCTCAGCCACAGCTTTACTACACCGAGATAGGTGGGAAATACATTGGAAAACATGCTGAAGCACTTGAAAACAAAGCTTTATAAATGTGTTTTGTAGCTGTGGGAGGTGGGCTAGCTCTAGGTTGGCTCTAATCTTTTGTTTTTGTTTCAGGGCAGAACTGAATCGGCACAAGCTGCGTTCACATGAATTACAAATGCAGCTTGAAACGGACCACAATACCATAGCTGAGGTATATGTAACACAGAGACACACCACTTCTGTTCAGTTGACAGGATATGTAAGATGCTTGTCCAGCACTGTAGGAGAGAGCCTTCTACTGGGTGGGAGAAGCTATCCTTCGCTGATGAGCTTCTGTTAGCCTGTGCAAATATCTGTAATAGTGTGCACAGACAACTCCAAAAAGACAAGAAGGCATTGTACTGGAAACCTGCAATATTACTTTAGGTTATAAGCCATGGGACAAAGCTGGTGAGGGAAAGTTTAATTTTACATAGTGTATCTTATGGACACCAACAGTTTGTACTGCATGAATGTGGTAAGTAATAAATACTTACCTGTAGAAGGATTGAAATATGTGTGACGAGACCTGACAGACATCTGTGATTCTGGTTTTCATTCAGAGGTTCAGAGAATAGACCATGAACTGAAACAAGTTCAGAAGAAAAAGAATGCACAAATGAATAAGAGGACTCACAAACAGTCCCTGTATGTTTTTAATGTAGAACCCACATCTAAAAACCACAGACAAAAGGATATGTATGTGATAATGGATAGTGATTACTGTGCCACCACTGTTTGTTCCTTGGCACATGAGTGTGTTTTAAAATAAACACAGTGACGGTTGTGTGCTTGACTTTAAGTAACTATGTTTGTACAGTATGAGAGGCAGCTAGCAGAGTGTCAAGCGAAGATGAGTCATCTCCAAAGACAACTGACGCAGCTGAACAAAGGGCAACTACTGCTACGCAACAGGTATGGGTGACTGTGTGCCCAACATAGAGAAATGGTGACAAATATATTTTATTCCCTGTTTCCTTGTGATGTTGGTTATTTATTTCCCTGTGTCATATGTTTGTTTTTTAACAGCTGAGTATACTGGCACCACAACGAAAGAAAACAACCATTGTTGATCCAGAGACTGATTAATGGCAGCTTAGTACTGTGCTGTATGAAAAATAATTTAGTCATCTGTTTTTGTTAATATGATTTTAAGATTTTGGCCAAATGTTAAAAATACATACACTGTTCTTACATTTTCTTGTGCATTTTATTTGTAATGATCGAAAGATATCTCAAGTGTAATATGTAAAAATTACCTTTTTAAAAATTATTTCAAAATAAACACCTTGGAAATGGACTCTGGTCATTATTAGAATGGAGTGGGAACTGGTTGGTTAAGTCTGGGCCAGGTTAAATGTTCTGCTCTGTTTGTAGTTATGAGTGGCAGTTATTTATTGATATTGTTTCATATCAAAATACATAAAATTGTGTGGAGTGAACAAACACTTATATTACACAATGTACTATCTCCTAAAAGCTTATGATATAGCTTTTATTTTTTAAACTCATTTCCCAAATGTGCCCCACTCCTTAGAGGGTGTGCCCCAGTCTGTTCCCCCTCCCTGCCAAGAAGATATTGTAGTATTGTGTGTGAGTGGCTGGTCCATTGGGCTAGTGGTATGATTTTCACTTTCATTGAAGTCTAAATGTTGCATGAGCACGGAAGCTGAAAACAAGTGTTTCTTGCACGATGTTTGGTGCAAGAGGTTGAATCAAAACTGATGCTTAAAGACGATGTTTAGTGCAAGAGGTTGAATCAAAACTGATGCAGACTGAGATAATGTTTAGTCCTTAACACATTGCAGCCTCAATCATGGCATCAAGTGAGTTCCTTCAGTAGGAAAACTTGTAATATACAGCACATTATTTCTTGTATAAAAGCTTACTGGGAAATCCTCAGTAGCTCAGCTGTGCACTTTGTGAGACACATACAGTTAAGCAGCCTTTGCAGCACTCACAATGGTGAATACATTTTAAGTTCCTGCATCCAAACTATGATATGGATCAGCATCAGAATCTAATCAGTTGTTCTGTGGGCCATACCCTACCAATCCAAATAATTCTATCTAAATCTGTAAATTACTTTTTGAGTTATGCTCCTCAACTCTCCGTCTTGACTGCAGCTTGTTGCTACCGTTCCCTGCTGCAGGCTACTAACGTCCGCTTACCAGGCGAGACGGCGAAACAGACTTCACTTCCATTATAATCTATTCTTAAATGTTGGGCTCTAACGCTAACATTGACCAACTACCCGGGTGCAAAAAAAAAAAAAAAAAAAAAACTCCGGGCCAACGTGCCTTTGTTTGGCTGCATTGCATGCCGGGAAAGTATTTTGTTGCTAGGAAATAATAAACCAATGCTTTTGTTCGGCAATCCTAACGGCAATCCTAACAGCATGACATCTTGTTTTAGAAAGCTAATTACATAACTTTAGAGTTAGCGTTATATGAAAAAACAAACCTTTTGGACCTTAATATTTGATACGGTAGGCATATTTGAAAACCATGCTTTTTCAATATTACTGTCTACAGATATGAAACGAGTTGGAAAGATTTACCAGCAACGTTATCGTTTGACATGACATTAACTCTTGTAAACTATATTAACCCACTGACGTGAACCCGGATTAGCTAAGATAACGTTAATATCAGGTTTATCCCCAACTTCGCATAGTCACTTCTTCTTTACATATGCTGTTTTGAAAACTTCAGCAAAGTTAAGTTAGATAATACATGCTGTCTTTCTGCTTTGTATTTGCTAAAATATAAATAACGTTCGCGTCAGTACTTGTAAACCCACGTTACAACTTTATTGCACTACTACTGTATATTGTTCTTTCACTGCTTCAGAGCCCCGGGGACACATGGCCTCAGCATCTCCGAGGGCCGCTCTACAAAGCGGAGAAAATGAGTCCAGAGGTAGGCTGAGCTAATATAGTATTTTTCTAGTTTTGTATCACATGTTCATTCTCAGTTTGACCGGTTTTTTTTTTGCAAACTCGTTTGCACTACTTTTTCTAAGTAACTTTAGTTTACCAAACTGCATTTCTTGCTGGAGTAGTTTTGCTGTAGTTTAACTTCTTCCAGTGTGAGGTAATTGATAGTTTGCAAAACTACATTTTCAAAGTAGTTTCCTCAATACTGGCAATGTTCTAGTTAAGTCATGTCAGAGGTGAACTTACATTCCACTTGATGCCCTGTCACAGAGCACAAGCTCCCTGAACTACAGAGCTCCACCATCATACCAAGGCCCCCAGTCCATGGTAAAGACCCACTGGTGAGACTAAGATCAAACTGAATTTAGCACTTTACACACTGCCCTGTTCTCAAAGTAATTAAAGTTTGTGGATATGGATCTTAGATGTCAGTTTCTTTCCCTTAATGTAGGCTGTGCTGAAGAGACGTGTAACACGGATACAACCCAGCCAAAACCACTTAAAAGCCCGTGAGCAGATGTTTTTTCCTGGCTGGTACACTCAGTCACCTCCATCTCAACAAATAGAGCAGTCACACAGGCGCCGTGAACAATTACCAGTCCGCCTTCCTCCTCTGCAATCCACTTCCAAGGTCAGTGATAGATATGGGTGAGATGAGAACAAGCCTTACTTAAAATATATCTACATGATGACTTTTGAGGAACATGATGGACATGTTCCTCAAAAGTACTACAATGTTATTTCATAAATCTAAAAGGCAGGCAAAATTTAAACCCAAGACCACCATTAAAATGGTGGCATCTGAACCGCACTAGTATGGCACTGTGGAGACAAATGTCTGCCAAATTAATAATGAATGATAAATAAATGAATTAATCTAGCTTCTAGGCTACCCATTCACCTCTCTGAAAAAGGTGACAAAAAAGTAGCCTTGGGGAGAATCAGGCTCTTCTGTCAAGAAAAGCTTAGTTCAAACTCCAAATTCACTGTTAATTTCCTTTAAATGAGCTACTTGCAGGAGAATATTCATCTTTGTTTCTGTCTCTCCACTACTCTTCAGTTGTCTTGTGCGTTATCAACCACTAGTCCCCCCAGACGGTACTTTCCCATTAAGATTGGTGGACAGCTGGACACTCCCTCCAAAGTTAAGATTTATGAGTACAGTAAGGATGAGTTTCTCATGATCAGCCATCAAGGTGTGGAATCGGTATGTGACGACAAGTTTGACAGTATGAGCCCTGAGCACTGGGAAGAGGAGTATAACTACCACTGCAAGTTGTTTCGCATACCCTTCTTTGCCCGCTTCAGAATGTGGAAACCCTTCTATGTCTGGCGCACTAAAGTTCGTGCCAAGAGGATTCATTTGGCCAGGACGGTTCTTCAAAACAGTTTTATTGTCAGTGTATGTATGTATAAACTGAAATCAGGACGTTCTCTTTATCTGTCTCAGTGATCTTGAATGTAGAATACCATACACTCTAAATATGGCCACTAAATAATTAATGTGAGTACTTTGTATTAACATGTGTGTATGGTTTACAGTCTCTAGGGCCTGCACTAATAGACATCAGAAAAATGTGCAATCAAATCAGTGACATGGGCTTGTGTCACATGGAGAAAAAACACACTTATTCACTACGGGAGTTCAAAGACACCCAGTTCAAACAGCTGCAAGAGGTGCAAATCTGCATTCATACAAACATTTGTCCAGATGCTTGAAGACTATTTGCATGAATTGTCTTTGTGTGTTCATTAGACACTCATTGCCCTTATTTGTTCATTTTTCATCAGGTATTGAATGACTTAGAGAAGTTTCGTGACCTGGTAAAGGAGGTGATACTTTGTGCGTGTCATAACTATTTGATGGAACCTCTGACCAGATCTGGTAGCCCATGTAGGTACATACAGCGCATATGAACTCATTTGAATGTACATATATAGACCACAATGTTAAAAGGTTGATAGTGCTTTCCGTTTGACACAGATGATCGACTGCGCAGGAGTTTTCTTGTACAGATCAAGAAGACATTTCTCTGTAAGCGCAATGTCAGGTGAGCAATTTTCTTATTTACAGAAGACATTTTGACATTTAACAATTTGACAAGACAGGAATAAACATGGACATTACTGATGATTGAATTCCATTTAAATAACATAGCTTATTGGGACTTGAATAGAACAGCAGCACAGCTGTAAATTACATGGTGAATTAATATTAAAATGAATATTCAAAAATCTTTCCCTCACCTACTCAGCTTCATCCGTCTTGTTGACTCTTTGGTCTTCAGTGCCTTGCATACCTTAGTGGTAAATACAGTGGCCAAACTACTGGCTATGCTCCAGGAGCAGATATGTCAGACACCCAGCCATTCTGTTATTCAGAGCTGGAACCAGCACTCTGAGGCTGCAGCTGACCATGCTGATGAAGAGATGGACAAGAAGGTAGGGCAGTGTTTCAGTATTGATAATAAAGCCACTGTAATTATTATCTACCAATAAACTTATCACACAGAAAAAGACCAATGTTGAGTTTGGATTTGTTGGTGTGTGTCTCTTTATTAGACTGCTGAGTCAGAAACTTCCCATGTTCTTGCACCTATGTTCATGTGTGAGTTGGTGCTGGACAAAAATGCTTTGACTTTTGAACCCTCTGAAGAGGACTTTCAGGTTTGTTATACAAATTGTCATGATTTTTTTTTTTCACTTTAGGTTGTTTATTATTCATGTAATTCCTATTTACAGTATATTCTTAAACAGAATGTGTATGCTGCTGTTTATGACTGCTCTTATTTCCTACAGGAGACTATTGCAGAGATCATTGGGTGGTTTAAGAAGACGATGTTGTCAGTTAGCACCTTTTCAGGAGAGCCGGATTTTGATTCAGTGACGCAACCTCTAGAGTTTCAGGTAGAAAAAATGGTGATAAAATCTGTGTATTGAGGGTACTGTAAATGTTGTTGATATGCTGAAAATAGATTGCTTTTTTACACTCCCATTCATATGTAACATACTGTAGTCTTTGTGTCTATGTATGTTTGTTAACTTTCAGAAAGTAGAAATTAAATATCATGGCCCCAGTTTGCAATTCATCATGAAGACTGATAGCCACTTACAAGGCATCATCCAAAACATTAAGGTTGGTTTTTACTTTACCCTGCCTTCTATCTCTGGAGATTGAATCTTATCTATACAGTATTGTATACATATGTGCCTGATTTGCTTTTCCCCTTAGGAGTCACTACGGTTTGCCTTTGATACAGCAAAAGTGTATTCAGACAAGTTTGAATGTTTTCGACTGTTCTGTAAGGAGAATGAAAGTCTGGATCTGGATGCATTGCGGCAACAGGATCATGGTGATGTACAGACCTTACTTTTGTTACACATCTCTCACTTAAGGCACAAGGAGCAGTTCATTTGAGAATAGTGCTTTTTTAATAAAAAAAAAAGATGCCTTGTTATTGGAAAGATATTTTAGACACTTATAAGCACAACAAATTATGGACAAAAACCTAAATATTCCTTTGATGAATCATTACTCCAGGGAGGATCTTTTTATTTTCAAGGAAAAACAGTTTTCAATGTTCACTGTGCCAGAATTTCTTGTGTTTTCTAGTAAACAAACACAAGTCATGTTTAAATAATATTCACCTAAATACACTTGCAAAGCCAATGTTTTGATTATTTTAAATCTTGCATTAGTTACATCTACTGTTTGCTAGCCTGCAGTGTTCTTCTTGATTACCTTTGTTGGCTCATTGCTACATACTATAAATTGTCAATCAGAAGAATAGTGTAATAATTAGCAACAGGAATATGCATTGTGTCACCGATGTGCTCATGCACATGCATGTGTGTCACATGTGTGATATAAAAAAAAAACAACCAAGGATCAATTTATCAAAACATTACCCCAAACAGTGCTTTAAGGGTAAAAGGAACTTCATAGTGTACCTTTAAAGACCATATCATATTGTTTTTATTTTGTAGTCTGTGGTACAAATGACCACTTACAGGTTTGTGGATCTTTTGCAACAAGAAAATCAGATTTAAGAAAGAAATTCTTTTTGTCAGAGGTTTGATCAAGTTGAATTTAATGCATTATAATGCAAATAAAGGGAACCTCTTTTAGAAACATTTCCTTGTTGGTGTAGTGTGGCAGGCTGCCTGATTCGCATTCACAAGCAGCACTGTCAGAAAATCACACCCTACTATACCATTTGAAAACTGTAAAATTAACCTGATTTAGAGGCCACTTGCATTTCTTTGTTATTTTATGTTATAAAATGAAATTGTAGGTCTAAGTATATGTGTTTATGCCTCTCTGTGGAATCATAGGAACCTACTGATGTCATGCTTTTGGTACTGTAATAGCACAAGGTCATCAATCGTCATTTTTCCTTATTTTCATTTTACTGGACTTTATCATCATTATTACATTATAACGGTTTTATTAGTGCACTTGTGAAGAAGTGGGAAAAACTGATGGAGAATGTGGAAGGGAAGAGGGTAGAGTATGAATGTGTTTGTTCCAGTATATTTAAATTGTTTCATTTTTCTTCTATCTTGTGCAGTTATGGCAGCTGAAACAGTTCTATGTCTGTTTACCTTGAAAAGCAGAAGTTGTTTAATAAAATCCAGTCACAAAAAAAACAATAAAGCTTGAAAGACAATCAGTAAACAAACATACCTGTGTTGTGAAGCATGAGTCTTTGTTTTAGACTGATTACAGTTGACGTCATCTCACAGGTTTGTCCTTCTTTGAAAAAGCACTGGAGGTATACCATAGTGAGCATAAGGAGGCCTTAGCCATCCAGGAGAAAAGGCATCTTGGTTTACTGCTAGTGGACAAAACACAGCTCAAACAGAGGCTTGTGTCTTCCCCCCTCCGCTGTCTTGAGGTGAGGACAAGCATACTGCATGTGCATGCAGATTCTGCACACACAGACATAGCCATCTTCAGATTAAAATTACAGTGATACTTGACAAATGTTGAAATAGATTTAATATGCAGCAATTTTTGCATAAATACAGTTGGGGTTTTGGGTTAAGCATAACTGATTTACAATTGATTGAAACAAAGGGACAGTGAGGCCTTTCTGGGTCAATTAAATCTCACTGAAATGAAAATATAAGTAAGGTCTAGTGGTCCACTGTGTGACCTAATTGGAAGAAATACTTTCCAGTACAACCAGATCTACTATGAGCAATACAGCTTGTAGTGATTCCACTTTGAATCTGTGCTCCAGGTCATCAATGAGATGCTCACCCAGCTGGCTAGGAAGAAGCTAGATGCTGTCATTGCTGAGGCTCATGAGGCTCAGTTCAAACTAGAATTCACTCCCTCTACTACATCTGAGTTAGCTGATGCTCTCATCTTCCTCGATGAGATACAGGAGAGGGTAAGATGTACATTTCTCATTAATAGCAGTTTCTTTATTTTTTATACATATATATATATATATATATATTTTACAACAAAAGGGTTATTTTTTACATTATATCGATGTCATGTCTCCCTTCCTAATTTTTTCTTGACTCTGTGCTGCTACATTGTACACTTTCAGCATTCTTTTTCTCCCCCTTGCCAGATTACAGTGTTAGAGAAAGAGCAGGAGACAATATGTCAGATGTACAATCTCATTAACATCTACTCAGTTCCCACGCCACCTGAGGATCTGGTTGTTTTCACCACCTTGCAACCCTCCATTAACTCATTGCAAAGTGCCACTGATAAGGCGGTGGCAGCGAAGGACTCCAGCATGCACAAGTTTTTCACTTCCCTGCACAAGGACATACAGGAGCTGAACCATGAGGTCATGACAATCAAGCTGAAGTCACAGGTGAAGAAGTTGTATACATTCTTTACACCCATCCCAAGAATACATAGTGTGGCAGGATGTTTTTCATACCATGATGAGCCTTGTTACTGAAGGTGTGTTCATGTAAATGTCTTTGCTCTGTTTTCATTTGTTTGCCTTGTGGTTTTTCATGTATAGGATCCACAAATTTTAGACATCAATTCAGATCCATCCCAAGTGCGTCAGCTGCTCAGGGAGATCCAGGTTTCTATAGAGGAGTTGCAGGCCCAGGCATCCACCTACATGTCTTATCAGAAGAAATTCAAGGTAAATTATATCTATAATTTGTTAAAAAAAAGACTCTTCCTTCAAACATATAGGCTCAAGTCATAAAACTGTTTTGTATTGGTGAAAAAGTTGTGTTACAGTATTTAAACTTTACTAACAAACAAGCCTGCCAGCCCAACCCACACTTGTTTTCCTCATCTGTCTTCTATTGAATAAAGGTGGAGGTGACCAAGTTTGACACCCTGGAGGAGTTAACTGCAGAGTGTAGGCTGAAGCAGCTGCTGTGGGACTCCCTAGAGGAATGGGACTCTTTACAGGATAACTGGCAGCAGGTGAGAGGCACCCCCCACGAGTGCATTGTTTTTGTAAGCCTGAACAAACATGCAGCAGCTCTTCCTCTCTTCAAAGCTTTACTGAATTCAGCCATGTCCACTCCTCTCCAGAGCACACTTCAGCAGCTGGACATGGAGCAGTTCAGCTCACAGGTCAACAAATACAGCAAATACGTCAACCAGCTGGAGAAGGGCCTGCCACATAACAATGTAGTGCCATGTCTGAAGGACAAGGTGGAAATTATGAAGCAGAGGGTGGGTAGGGCAAAGTGTTCTGTAGTGACTGACATTAATGTGTATAGTTGTTGATATAAATAACAAAATTAATGTTATCATAAATCTCTTCTTGAAATGATTCCACATTAAAAAAAAAAAGATCAGCAAACAGCTCTTGTTGATTTAGCCAGTCTGCTCTAAACTACTGCTTTGTGACTCTGTCTAAATGATGTTCATGCATTTTCTTTCAGCTCCCTGTCATCACTGATCTGCGGAACCCGTGTATGAAGGCAAAACACTGGAAGACCCTTGAGTCAGTGTTGGGTATGCCCTTGAATGTGGAAGAGCTTACTGTGGCTGTGTTGGAGGAGCTCAGTGCCTTCTCCTATGGCATGGAGATAAAGAAGGTAACGCATACTGTACATAGAGCTATAAATGTGAGCTTCTCTTGTTATACTTGAGAGACTTTGGTTACTGCTAATTATTAAGTTGCAAGTACTACTGCTTGCCCTTACCTAATCTAAATTTCTATCTTGCGCCATACTAATCCTTTCTTCATACAGTATTTTGACTTTAGAGTGAGGTCAAGGCCTGAAGTACATAAGTGAACACAAATACACAACTTTCTTCAAGGAGTCATCTTTACATGTCACCTGGATAAACAGTATTAACACAACTCTTGACTTTTAGGTGTCAGGACAGGCTTCAGGAGAGGCATCAGTGGAGACCATTATTGTAAAGGTGTGTGGATTACCTGTGGATATGTATAAAGATATTGTATGTCCATCTGTATACCTACTGAAAGAAAAACTGGTATAAGTGAAAACTACCTTCCTCTCTGAAAAATACAAGCTGCTTTTGATAATGCCATTTGGTGCTCACATACAGTACCAGTTTGATGACTCATACAACTCAAGAATTTACTTAGCAAATACAGAAATTTCTGCCTTTTAAAATTCAGCATTTGTCACCTACTTTTTGTTTTGGAAACAACTGTCAACACATCACTAGAAGCAGCAGAGTGGTGCTGCAAGTAAAGCACTACACACAAAAGCACACAACAAAAAAGTGCAGTCAGTACTGGACCCAGGGAAATGCCTACTTTGAGAACTTGACACACACAGCACAAGTTCAGTAGTTGTGTTGTTGTAACTTTTGGTGTTTTTGTGGCTTGTGACTGGTGCCATGTGGATGCGGCATGGTTGGATTTGGAGTCTTTGTATATGGTAGAGGCTGGCATTAATTACAGACGCTTCAAATTAGTTCTCTTATCTCCTGTAAAAGCAAAAACATCTCTCCCACAGCAGACCAAATGTTTTGTGATGGAGAGCCCAGTCGGGCTTCTCACAAAAGAAATTTATTTATTTATTTTTTGGAGCAAGTACAGAGGTGCCAAAAGTAGCCAGATATATGGCAACACAAACATGCTGCCAAGACTGGAAGCAGGGGGAAACAGACTGGATTCTGTCCAAACATGAAATATAAGCCTAATTTTTGTACAGACTAAACAAACAAGACAGAATATGTTGGAGCATGGTCCCTAATCATGCATTCAATAATGTAGTTTGACTAAAGGAATCTTTATGTTTTTTTTAAGCTCATTTCCAAGTAATTACTTATTGTTTGTCAGTAATCAAATTAATGCAAATATGTAACATTTAGTAAAGCCAAGGTGACTTTCAGGATTAAAATTGTGCCAATCCGGTTTATCTAGTGCACAACAGCGGTCCTAAAGTTACTTCATAAAATGGTCCCTGGGTCACACTTAGTTGAGAGCCCTTGTGTCAGAGAGCTTTAGAAGTACTGGTAGGCAGTTTTATTTTACCTTCCAACAGAGCTGGGCTAGCTGTTGCTCCCAACTTGTAGTCTTTGTGCTAAATAAGCAGATACTGTATAATGTAAGAGGATAACAAATAAGTTTATTGTCAGAAATGTCTAATTGTCGCATTAAGTTGACTTTATGTTTCTAGAGAAAGTGAAAACGTGGTCACTGTGTTTTCTATACTTATATGTAGTTTTTTTTCTTCCAGTTTTAGTAGTCACAATGGTTGAGTTAGATTGTACTCTATTACGCACACGCTGAATGGAGAGTTCATACAAAAACTATGCATGCTAGTATTCAAACCTCAGATCTGATGAATGAAGCACAACTCAGATAGCAATGTGTGAATATTTATCTGCCAGTCAGACTTAATTCTTTTAACTTATGCTCCATCCAGTCCTGCCAGAAGCTAAGCACAGAGTTATTGTGTTTGTTGTGTCTAATATTCTTCTCCCTACATTTTATGTTGTTGGGAGAACACAGACACAATACACACAAGCAAGAACATATTTAAGGAATGCAGTACAGTACACGTTATTTAACCTTTGCACTTTCAATGAGCCATGCAGGTGGAGAATGTGTGGAAGACCACAAAGTTCACTGTGCTGTCTCATGGTGACAAAGAAGTGTTCATCCTGGGTGGCACGGATGATATCCAGGTAGTAATATGCAGCACTCACGCACAGAGTGTTCTAATGCACCAGTAATGTTGCACTGTATTAATTGTGAATGTTTGTGTGTTTTTATGTTTGTTTACTGCAAAGCTACTCCTGGATGACAGCATAATAAATGTGGGCACAGTGGCATCTTCTCAGTATGTGGGTCCCATCAAGAGCAGGGTGGACAAATTGCTGAGGCAGCTGACCCTCTTCAGCCAAACACTGGTAAATGCTTAAAATAGAATGTCATAGAATGATATTTCATTCAGCACCAAGTAATTCTTCTCTTAGGCTTGTCTGTTTGGCTAAAGCATTTGTGGATTTGGTGTCAAATGTTAGACAGTAGCCCCCCCTAGTGGCTGAAGAACAAAGTATATTTCATTAGAGATTATTATTTACACAGTTGACAATTTATTAGAAACACCTAACTAAAATTAATGCAATCTAATATAGCAGTCTTGTAATAAATCCTCCTTTCTTTCATACCTACATCCATTTATATCTGTGAGTCTAGGCTAAATAACAGAAAAACCTCTCTGTATAATGCAGTTCAGCTCAGCAGCAGCACAAAATGAGCAGCCTCCAAAATGATTACACGGTTGAATCAACACCTCTCTAAATTTATCACCTTCATGAAAGATGTGCAAGGGATTTTTTTGGAACTGGGTTATTAGAGTGCATTATCAAATAAATTCCCAACTGAGTGTAAGTAGATACAACAGTATCATATTTAAGACTACAGTTTGTTCATATTATTCATCTTATTATTTTACTATTCATTTTATTATTGTTTTATTTTTCCATACCTATTTAATCCCCCCCAAACACACACATTGTCATTGCCCTTATATTTACAGTATTTCTTTGCTATCTCCCCTTTCACCCTTCTTTTCCAGGATGAGTGGCTTACATGCCAAAGGAACTGGCTATACCTAGAGGGTATCTTCTTGGCCCCAGATATCAAATGGCAGCTGCCTGCTGAGTCCAAGATGTTTCTTAAGGTGGACAAGTCCTGGAAAGAGATCATGGCAAGGGTCAAGAAGATGCCCAATGCCCTTCAAGCAGTGACACAGCCCGGTAGAAGGGTGAAAAATAGTTATGTACACTGACTGGCCACTTTGATAAGCACAACTGTATGCACTTCAGTGCAAAACTTCCGCCTTAGCATCTGTGTATATGAAGTTCAAAATGTTTCAGTTTTTGGTGAAACTGTCATAAATGTATAAATTCAGTTCTATGTTTATTATTAAGGTGGTGTTTAACTGGCCTACATTATATTCAGAGGTGTCTCTGTATTTTTGTCCTCCCCAGCTACATATGCTTCTGAATGTAGTCCTGTACAACATCACTTTTAATTTTGACCTCAGTAATAAAGAAATAATGGAATTTATACATTTCTGACAGTTTCACCAAAAACTCAGGCATTTTGAGCTTCATAAACACAGATGTTAAGGTGGAAGTGTTGCATTGAAGTGCATGTAGTTGTACAGGTGTGCCTAATAAAGTGGCCAATCAGTGTCTATGCAGAGAGTTGAAAAGAGAGACACACAGTCACATGTACTCTCATTCAGGTAAAACAATTGTCACACGGAATATTAACTTGTTTTATCCGACACAGATCTGTTGGAGACTTTTCAGCACAACAATGCTCTTTTGGATGAGATACAGAAGTGTCTGGAAGCCTACCTGGAGTCCAAGAGAGTCATCTTCCCCAGGTATACACATGCCTGGTTTATCACATACAATATTAGAAAAAGAAACTTTTACATCATATGTCATCTTCTTTTATTCACTCTAAACTGTTTGCTTTGTTTTTGCTTCTTTTCTTGGTTATTTGTTTTGTACACAAACAAAATTAGATATTTAAGAGTTTAATTGTACATGATATTTTGCTCTGTGTAGGATATTTAAGATTTTGGGGCTCATTCTTTGGCACTAAAAAGTGAAACTGCATGTGTTCATATTTCTTAAGTAGTCGTAGTGGGGTTTTGTGCTGGAGAACAAGAAGAAAAGTGGCAACACAGGAATTTGCACATTTGGTCTCGTGATATTTTAAGGTGTTCCCAAGGATGCAAAATAATGGAGGACAGAATGGAAATTTATACAAATACCCTCAGTGCCTGATTTATCACCATTGCAGCAGATGGAATTGCAGGTGAAATTTAATATGAGGAGAAAGCAGGTGTAAAATTTGCAGCCCCGCTGTCAGCGTGGCAGCTGTTATTCATTTGAGTCCTCGTCAGAGTTAAGAACACATTTGAGGAAAGAGAGGATGCTTGTAAATTGCATTGCTCACAGGAGGAGAATGTGAGGGATTTTTACAGACATTTAGGTGAAACCATGCTTAAGTTACTGAAGAAAATAAAAAATGATTTGACTGGCTGAAAACTATGTGATTGCAGTTCCAAGATATGTTTTTTAATTTCTTCAGCCATATTACAGTTCAGTCGCCTTAAACTTACACTTTCTTCCTCTCTTTTGGTCCACACATGCTCAATACAGGCAGCAGTCATTGTAAGTGGCAGTATATTCAAATTAACACTGGTGCGGCTGTGATGATTTACATAGTCAGTGTTGGAAAATACACCACTAAATTGAAAAATTGACGTGCCGCAATATTTTACTTACCTGATGGTAATTTGTGATGGGTTGAGTCCCCCTAACAGTTTACCAGCTGTTGCTCTAAACATCTCTTCCCAGTGAGCCCTGTGAAACAAACGAACACTATGGCTGATTGGTAGCATTGACTGTTTTGATGTTCATTATTTGTGTGTCATCTGCAGGTTCTACTTCTTATCCAATGATGAGCTTCTAAAGATCTTGGCTCAGACAAGAAACCCTCAGGCCGTGCAGCCCCATCTCAGGAAGTGCTTTGATGCTATTAAACAGCTAGAGTTTGCTGTGTTGCATGAACAACCGCCTGGGGCTACAGGAATTGTACGGGATGCTGGAGAACAGGAAGCCATATACACCAAAGACATATTGTATATGGTTTCTCCAGAGGGAGAAAAGGTGCAGTTTAAACAACCTCAACACCTTCGGTCATTGTTTTGTCAGGCTGTTTTATTCCCTGTTATTCTCGTTTCAGTTCTTGCTGCTAATGAGAGAGAGTGAGTGAGAAAGAGAAATCCATTGTTTTTTACTTTCCTTACTAACTAGAACAATAATTAAACACATCAGTCATATTAAGTGACACCACTTTCCTCCTACTTAACTACCCTAAAGGAGAGCTTGAATAAAATAGATTCTCAGATTATGCAAAAACCTCTTCAAGGTATGATTAAGGTAAACAGGGGACATACCAAATTCTGATTAGCACTGATTAAAAGAATAAACAATAATTTAATACTAAAGTATATAATTCTTTATGAATATATTTGTCACAAACACAGAAAAATTGGATAGCAGCTAATTCCACTAGTGCGGGATTGGTGGGTCTTGTCTTCCACCACAGGCAGTCTGTGCTGTTTCTGCTGTGGATTTCAGTTTCTTTGTACCCAGATGCAGTCCAGTCCCTCCTCAGGTGTAAATTATTAACAGCTATCATAGTGATATAGTTGTTTGTGGCATCTCAAATTCTGCAGCAAGGATGATGAAACATCTTTGAGTGTCCTAGCAATTTTGCTTGTGCTGATTGCTTATTCACCCACTCTGTTTGACAAGCTTGTCAGTTATGGCCACAAAGGGGTATTAGTTATCACTCTTTCACTTCTTCAGTTACAAAGGTCAATAAAGACTGAGGGAACTCACAATAAATCACTGTGAACCTTTAATAGAAAGGACAATACAGATGTATTCGTGTTCTTCACCGTAACTTCAAGCATGTCCTTCTGTGTGTAAGTGTAGGTGGGTTTCACTAAAGGTGTGAAGGCACAAGGCAATGTGGAAGATTGGCTTTGCAAAGTGGAGGAGGCCATGTTCTCCTCACTACGACGCCTCAGCAAGGCAGCCATTGCAGACTACCAGGTGAAGTCTAGGGAGGAATGGGTGGTGGCTGGACATCCATCGCAGGTGCACACACACACACACACACACACACACACACACACACACACACACACACATTAAAGTAAAGTTAGGAATCAGTGCTTTTCAAACTTTTTGAGGAGCAGACTTGAGGGTGACTGTATAGTTTTTCATTTACAGGATTTGCATGGAAAAATGCCAAGGCATCATTAAAGCTACAGTTACCAATAAACCACAATTTTAAACATATTATTTTGTGAGAACTATTGTAATTCTCTGATTGTCACTTCAAGGAACCAGCCAATGCTTAAAATCATTGCTAATGTCTAAACCTCGCTTAGATTTTGTAATTGATTTCCATCATTTCAGATGCTCTTTGGTGCTTAGTCTTTTTGTTTCTATTACTGATTTACCATCAGTCTGTTTGCCACCAGGTGGTGTTGACCATCTCACAGATGATGTGGTGCAGGGACATGGAGGCATGTCTGGAGGGAGACCACGACCACTTTGCTGCTCTGCAGGAATTTGAATATACCAGCTTTGATGTAAACCACATTATTTACTCTACTGCTTGCTTTTGTCTTTATTGTGTGGTTAAAAATTAGACTTGAGAAAACAATTCAACACTTGTGTGTGTCCAAGTATTGTTACTGTTTAACTTAAAATGTATTAACCCAAGAATGTTTGTGTGTGTTCCAGAGGTTGAATGCCCTGGCAGCACTGGTACGTGGGCAGCTGCCTACTTTACATCGTAATGTCATCACTGCCCTTATCACCATCAATGTCCATGCCAGAGACATTGTCACAGATCTAGTCCGGCAGAGGGTACGATAGCGCATGAACATTATCAAACAGCTTGTCTTCTTATAGTCTTTTTGTGGTGTGGTGTGGTGTGATAGGTGAATGTACTGACTGGACACTTTGAGGGGTATAAAAAAGATTTCTAACAGCTCACTACGTTAAAGTAATGTCAACTTTTTTGTCAGGTGGACACTAAGTCTCACTTTGAATGGCAGAGACAGCTACGCTACTACTGGGACCTGGACCTGGATAACTGTGTAGCCACAATGGCTCTGTCTACTTACATTTACGGCTATGAATACCTGGGTGCCTGCCCTAGACTGGTCATCACTCCACTCACGGTAACACAAAATGTAACATTAAAGATATACATGAAAACTGCAAACACAGATTTTATCATCAGTTAGACAAGCTTCCACTATGGCAAATATTCATAGACTCTCTTTTAGTTCATTTCGATTCTTCATAAAGCCACTATCTTATAGTGCAAGTTTAGAACAGAAATGCAGGATGTTGTGTTATTGTATTTTTCAGTTTTGTTCAAAAAGTCACACCTAAATCTCCCACCTGTTCTGTATCTCTTACCCTGCTCCAATGGGCAGGACCGCTGCTACCTGTGTCTGATGGGGGCGCTCCAGTTGGACTTGGGAGGTGCTCCAACTGGGCCAGCAGGGACAGGCAAAACAGAGACCACCAAGGACCTGGCTAAAGCCTTGGCCATCCAGTGTGTGGTCTTCAACTGTTCTGATGGGCTTGATTATAAGGTTGGCCATGTTCAACAGTTTTTATCTTATTACACTTTTTTTGCTTATTTTCACACTCACTACTTAATAATTTGTTCCTTTAATTTCTTCCATCACCGCTAAACTTACATGCTCTGCATTCTCCTTTTGTTTTCATCAATTTTCACTCTGATTGCAAGTGTTTTTTTTTGTTTAGTTTTGTTTAATCTATGCCAAAGGTTCGTTCGAGAGGTAAGGTGTGGGCCCTGTGATAGACTGGCAACCTGTCCAGGGCATACCTTGCCTCTCGCCCACTGTCAGCTGGGATTGGCTCCAACCCCCCATGACCCTCTTCAAGATAAGCGTTATAGATAATGGATGGGTGGATGGGTTTGGGTCATGGAACAATGGAATAGATTTTGGTGCTGATCTGTGTCATAATTTGGATACAGGGATATTTTAAAGATTCTTCACCACTGTGAGTGCTGCAAAGACGGCTTAACTGTATGTGAGCCCCCTTGTGATCAAAGTGCATGGCTGCACTGCTGAGCACTTCTTGCACATACAGAAGCAAATCTCTGAGTCAATGACAGCTGTTCATTCATAGTCAGTGGAAACTGAGTGCTGTCACTCAGTTCACCCCGCTGTATGAGACAGAGACTGAGCGAGTCCAGCAAGGTGACAGCCCACAGCTCAGAAAAGATCTGCTCTATTCAGCGACCTGATGACAGAGGTTGTGAGCCAGGCTTAAAACTGTTATCATTTTCATCTGTAGGACTGGTATTATGCTATTTTATTAAGTTTTGACATTTTTCAGGTGATAAAGTAAACACTTAGATTTAGTCTGTCTAGGTAATGGCAATTAAAAATTGCTACTGATGTTTTTAGAGTTGTGAGTATAGACACATATGTATGTGTCTATGGTTGTGAGTGCTCACTATCTGACCAAGCTAGCTCTATTAGAAGGTACTCACTGAAGTCACTGTTTGACCTCTAAACAAAAGAGCAAATGTCTGTGGGTTATTCCTATAATATTGTAAAGTCTAGACCTTACTATGCCCTTGTTGTTGTGAATTGGTGCTATAGCCTACCAATAAAACTGAACTGAATAACTTTCAAACTAATAATGATATCAGCATCCTATCAAATGCCAGCAGTAGGGTTTCATGGTCACACAATCATATATAAGGGTCAAACTATCATAGGATTATTACTTTTATGGCATTATGTGCAAACTGAGTTGCCCTTAGCAGAGGTTGCACTCTCTGGGTACTGTCTTGTTTCCTTGGAATTTATTCACCGGAAGATGCTGTGTCTCTGTGCCTGCTAGCTGATGCCAACAGATGGCACTATAACAAAAGCATTCAAGCCGAATGCCCTCTGCAACCTTAGTTGCAGGCAACTTGAACATTGTCTTACAGTAAACCAGAGCAGAGCTTTTCCTCTGGGTTTTTTAAAGAAATCTTTCTTTAACAGTTGTCTACCCCATCATTTGAGCAGCATAAGTGTTCTAAATGGTTGTGTGTATTATATATTTAGCCTGATGAAAGGTGTTATATTTGGCTGACAATCGTCTAAAATGTATTAAATGTGTGTATGTCTTTCTAGACATTTGTTTTCAGACATTATTTATAGTAGAGGGTCTGGTCTCTGAACCAAATCTTAACAAATTGAAATTCAAGATCGACCACAAAGGGCTGAATCTTGCTATCACCCCTGAACAGATTGACAGCTGGTTTCATACATCTAAATTATTTGTTGTTTCTGTGTATGTACACTACATCACTCACTTATCATCAGTTATGATCATTGACAAACATACTAAATGCTGATATTTCATCCCTAAATAAGAACCATCATTTCTATAAGAATATATAGTATGTACTTCACAAGCCACCAAATTTCAGATCGGGCATTTAACCTTAATTTAATGTTGAATAGTGCAATGTCTTGGGGTCAGTAGAACCTAAAGTGCATATCTACAAGACAGCTGGAAGCTATTCTCCCTATGTCTGCTTTAGTTAAGCATTGCTGGCAGGCACCTGAAATGCATTAGAGTTGGACAGGGATTTGATTTAGCCAGGCTAGACTCACCACTGGTTTTATGTGTTGGCCTCTGCTGTGGCTTAGAAATGTGTAGCATTAAAAAGATTAACATAAAACAGTTA